GTCCGTCGGTCCGTCGGTCCGTCGGTCCGTCTGTCCGTCGGTCCGTCTGTCCGTCCGTCCGTCTGTCTGTCTGTCTGTCCGTCCGTCCGTCCGTCCGTCCGTCCGTCCGTCCGTCCATCCGTCCGTCCGTCCGTCCGTCCGTGTGTCAGTGTGTGCGTGTGTGTCCGTGCGTGCGTGCGTGCGTTCGTCCGTCCGTCCGTCCGATCGATTGGATCGATTGAATTGTCTGTTTGCAAATGTTGTATTTACTTGAGGTACTTTTACCACAATGTCTTTCCTTCTTCTCTTCGAAATATTTAGATCTAGTTTAGAGGCCTACGTTGTCTGATTACAGTTTGAGTGGTATACAGTTTCGCTACAGTGGCTAAATTTGATAGATAAAATTGTATAATATTATTTTCAATTGTTACAGTAACACTTCCTGCTGAGCTTAAAATACTCGCACATCTGGTGCCTCCAAAGGGAAGAATTTCAAAAAAAATTAAGTTCACTACTCAGGAAGCAATTGACTCCTTATATATTTGTGTGCCGGTATGTTTTTTTTAATAGCCCCGCCCTAGGGAAACCCTGTGTCGCGGGTGCCATGGATATACACATAAACCATCACAAATTACACTCAAACTCACGGGAGAAATAAATTTAGGCCATACAAATATTTCTCCGAGCCCGGGAATCGAACCTGGGACCTCTGCGTTGGCAGTTCGGCATGGTAACCTTTCGGCCACGGAGGAATTTATAATGTCGACTCATCCGAAGTCCGATATGATTATATAACGAAAAGAGAATAAGTACGTTACGAGAATAATTTCGTTATTCAAACTAAGGCCTGTGTAAAGGCGTTTTGACAATTTATATATCTTATTTCGTTTCGAAAATACAAAATCCAACAGTCGATCTGACATTTACAGCGAAGAAGAACAAACGAAATGTACTATGTCCTGAGAACAAGTAGTCTTGCACATATAGATCTTTGTTCTACGGATGAGTAGGTATATATATATATATAAAACTGTCTCCTGTATATAATATATGTATGTATTTTTTGTTTTCAATATTTATGCCTCATATGCCTCATTTATAATATTACTTTGTGGTAAAGATTGGCTCACAAATCTGTTGTGGCTACTTATTATGTTTCATTCATTATGTACTCTTAATACTATCTTAATTTCTAGAATGCTGGCGATATAGACCAAGTAATCAAAGAACAAAAACAAAAGGCGACAAGCAAGAAATTGTCTGTTCAACCCTATGTTATACTCCAGGGATCTTTGCTAGAGTGTGGTTCACCGTTACTAATAGTAGATGATGTAAGATATCAATTTTTAACCATAACAAAAGCTTTTGATACTCTTTTTAAACTTTACCATACCTTCAACGTTAGATATCCCAGAGCAGGCGACCATTTATATTTGATCATACAAAGATGTGTATATAATATAGAAACTAAGTACGATAACGTCGTACCGTATATAATTGACGTTTTGAATATGTGATTTAGCTAAACACCACTTTCAAGGTTTCATAAACTCAATCAGAGCAGGGCCCACTCCCAATTGAGTTGTTAATGCTATTCTTTGAAAAAAAAAAACAGTTTATACACAGACTTTCAATTAGAAAGAATTTTCTTACCACTTCTAACTCAGTTACGACAATTTATGCAACAATAATTGCTACAAGTGATATTACAATATTGTTAACCTGATCAATCTCCGACTAAAACTCTCTGTGTTTCGCTTATTGTCAAAATGGATTTGAACTGTAATTACTGTCACAAAATACTTCATGATTTTAAGCAATACATTTTTCATTTAGAAACTATCCATAAAATAGGTAACTATTTTGTCTGCCCTTTTGAGAGTTGTAAATGAACATATGATAAAAAAAATCGTTTTAAAAATCATTTAACAACGTGTTACAATTCAAATCGCAATAGGAATAGTACTTCTTGTGACAATAGTATTAATATCAGTAACTCCATCCTGTCCGAACAAAGTTCATTTCCAAGTACCAATGATACACACCAATCTTTTGACACATCACCGTCGAATGATAAAGACACTGGAAATGAATCTTTTATAAAATCTGTAAAATCATACTTAAATATATTTGTATGCAATTTATATGGGTTTGTTAGTTTACCAAGATCTTTAATACAAACTTTGATAGAATTAGTTCAAACCTTAATCCACAACATCACTTCAAATATACACGAAACAGTTAATAACGAACATATAGATGCCACTAAAAGAAACATTATTGTAATAGAAATGATATTAGCATTACCAGACATATTTAAAGACTACGATACAGAATATAAGCGCTTGAAAAATTTAGTTGACAATGAGTATTATGTAGCCCCTGTAGAAGTAAAGATCGGAACTGTCAAAGATCGACGTAGTGAAAATAATGATGTAACAATGATGCTGAAAACTTTATATGACACCACTTAGACAAACATTAAGCAATTTTTTAAACTTACCTGGAGTACTTTCTCACATTCTTAATTATCAACAGATGCTTTTGGACGAGAGTAATGTAAGTAACGGTGATGTGATTCGAAATGTGATTCAAGGATCGTTGTGGAAAGAACTTTCGGCTAATATAGACAAAGATAGTATCGTTATCCCTTTCATTTTGTATTTTGATGATTTTGAAAGTGGCAATGCCCTAGGAAGCCACGCTGGCGAATATAAGTTAGGTGCAGTTTATATTTCTATTGCAACTATTCCGCCAGAACAATCAAGTAGGTTAGAAAATATTTTTGTGACTCAAGTATTTTATTCAAAGGACAGAGTATTTTTTGGCAATGGGGCAATTTTTAACAAATTAATTGAAGAACTTAAGTTTTTAGAAGAAGCTGGCGTTGGTGTTTTATTGTCCAAAAATATCATTACAGTAAAATTTGTATTAATAACTTTATCTGGAGATAACTTAGGACTCCACGGCATATTAGGACTTTTCGAAAGCTTTATGGCTACATATTTCTGCAGGTTTTGTTTGACTACCAAAACTGAATCTGAAACCCAATCGTGTGAATTAAATAATCTACGAATGCCTTCTGAATACAATCAACATGTTGAAAATCGTATAGGAATTAAAGAAATATGTGTTTGGAATAATTTGAAATATTTTCATATTTACAATAATGTTACATGTGATGTGATGCATGATCTTACGGAAGGGGTACTAAGGTATGGAATGGCCCTTGTAATTAGAAGTCTAATAGATAAAGGATATTTCTCACTAGATCATCTGAATTCTAGGATAAAGTACTTTAAGTACAATACTAATGAGAAAAACACACCACCACCAATCAATAATCAACACTTATTAAACAAAAGTTTAACTATATCTGCTTCTGAAATGTTATGCCTTACAAGAAATTTTGCTTTTGTGGTTGGAGATTTAGTTGAAAATAACGACCCCGTTTGGAACTATTATTTAATATTATTGGAAATAACAAATGTTCTCACTTCACATTCGTTTACTTCAGACCTAATAGATTACTTAAAAAGTATTATTGAAGAACATCACCAGCAATACCTTAATTTATTTCAAAGTAAATTAAAACCCAAACATCATTTCCTTATTCATTACCCTACAATTATAAAAAAAATTGGGCCGCCTATACTTATAAGTGCTTTTAAATACGAAGCGAAACACAAAGAGTTAAAAAAGGTTTGTCAGTCAATAACATCACGAAAAGATCTTCCTCAATCTGTTATGAAACGTTGTCAACTAAAACAAAGTTTTCGATATGCAACTGAGAAAGGTTTGACGGAAAATCTTTTGTATGGTAAATATGAATTTGATGAAGGCCACTGTGGTGCAGACAATTGCATTTATGTTGATTGGTGTGAATTAAACGGAATTAGGTATACCGTAAATAATGTTTTGCTACAAGATATAATTGAGGATATTCCCAAATATTATATTGTTAACAAAATAATGATTAATCAATGTACTAATGACATATTATTTAAATGTTTTTTTTTAGATATTGTTCATTATAATGCTCATTTCAGAGCATATAAAGTAATACAAACAACACGTAGTCGTACTATTGCGTATGTAGACTTGTACACAAATTTAATTTCTGTACTGTATAAAGTAAAATTGGATTCCTATGTTAAAGTTGATTTTTGATGTATATTATATTGTACTGTGATGTCGACAAAACGAGTACGTGCAAATCCAAAGCTATTTCAGTGTTATGAGTAGGTACAGTCGCTGTATGAAGATTTATTATTTTGATTTCGGCTGTTTTAGTGTGATTGTTTAAATTATTCAGAAGGGTTGTTGCAGTGCAAATTTATATAAAATAAGTAAGTTACGTAAACAAGCCCTAAGGTTTATTGAATTATGGTTTGTCACACATATATGCATATATGTATGTAGGGACACGAATTTTATTTCTGTGAGTTTTAATTTAATTTTCTATGTTAAAGTTTTTCATGTCAATAATTCATTTTGTATTTCACTAATATTATGCCAGTATTGTATACGTGTACGAAAAATAAACGTTTTTTAATTTATTTCCTAAATAAGTATAATCTTTTTATTATTTAAGTCGTTTTGTGTCAAGTATTTTAAGCCTGCAATTTTATTTTGTTTAAATTTGTGAACAATTCTCAAAAAAATACAACCGTTTTCAAGAAGCAATAATTATAATTTGATAAAGTCAGAACGTCATAACAGCAACGCCAACGACTTCATTAAAATTAATTGTTGCGTTTTGAAGGCGGTTATATATTTTTTTAATTATTCACAAACTATGTCCTTAGGCTCAATTTATATAGCAGCGGAACGGAATGGAAACGAATTTTTGTAACGTTATTGTACATAGCATAATGAATTTTATGGTCAATTGTGTAACGTACATGCTCGAGAATGCTCGAGCATTCCGCGGAAGATTTTGGCTCGTATTTTGTTTTGTACCGTTACACAATCGACCATAATGTTCATTATGTTATGGTTAATATCGTTACAAAAATTCGCTTCCATTCCGTTCCGCCGCAATATAAATTGAGCCTTATTTTCAACAAACAAAATGACTTAAATCAAAAATACCCCACATTTTAACCCAAGACGGTAAAATCTTACATTAAGATTGTAATGGACTTATTAATAGCAGAAAGTTGCTTTGATATAACGGAACCAAAAGTCATAATTTAAGAAATTTGGTTTCAGAATGAAATCAAACTTCTCTTAAACATAGAAAACATAAATCTTCAGTTAAATAATTATCTCTCAATTTTCATTCTTTTTTTTTCAAGTCAAAATCAGAAATTTCTAATAACAAATAAATATTTTCTTGAATCTAGAGTAGCTTTATGACTTAAATAAATTAATTTGCTCTTGGATTAAATATTTCTGTCTTAGAACTAAAATACACTTTTGAGACGTTTTTTTACTATTATCAAGTAATTATTCTCTAGCGTCTATAGGGAGAGGATCGTTTTCTTGGATTTAATAAAATTGTCTTCGTACAAAGAAATTTGTCTAGTTTTAAGTAATCTGTTTTTACCGTGTAGTATAATAAACCACTGCAAGTTGATCCAAAGAAGTATCAAACTTGTTTACGTTTCCTGGAGTTTTTTAAAGTTGGTTTGTTGTCGTGCGCGTGACATACTTGTCAAAATTAGTATAATCTACAGACATGTTGGTATCTAATACCGCTCTCTCAATAGCGACCGCGCCTCTACAATTAAGATTATCTTTCGATATATTTGTTAAAACATTTAATTTGCTCATTTTTTATGCTTATTTTGAACTACTACATTTATTACGGAGATTACATTCGGATCAATTACGTAAAATGTAGTTTTTTATAATGATGGAATTTAACCATAACATAATTTCCATTCATTGAAATAGCAATATCTCTTTCTCTTTGTGCTTTAATCAGTATGAGTTTTATTTATTTGCCCTGAACATCCTGTTCCGTCAACTAATTAGCAATTATCTCTAAATATTGTAATTGTTAATATGTGAATGACTATCACACATACCTACTATGTAATATGTATCTTATCAATTCACAGTTGAGTTGGTCATATTCGTGCCGAGTGCATCTCATTCAATAAATCGATTAGAGTGAATTGTTTAATAAAGGTACCTATTAAACACATGTGGAACATATGTTAGTCACTAATTCTTGGAAAATATTCATGTAAGCCACACGATCAAGTCTCACATAAAAACAGGACATGGCTGTGGCAAATGGCAATGACCACATCTATATTTTTTCTTAAAGATAAGCTTAGTTTTGTCCACAATCCCACCTCATGCGAACCGCACATGTGGAGGATTAATATACACTCTCGCGTATAAATTGCCTGATCTCCTTCGCCGTACACATAATGAACGAAGAAGCAAAATGCTTCGTAGTGTTAAGATGCTTCGCAGCGTCTGTCTGACCGGTGATGAGAAGTACCGGCTAGTATAAATTTATTTCATATTACCGTGTCGATGCGATGTATCGTTGGAACGATCGCGTTTTATAACGGAGATCACGTTTAATTAAGCAATCGAAGACGACGGTAAGTGCAGTACGGCGGGTTTGTTAGAAATAGGATGTGCAGCCCAAGAAAGCGGTTTAGTGGTTAACGTTAAGAAGCTGGGCGACCTG